ATATACATGGTTCAGGATATCACTATGCAGCTCGGACTCATAGTGACCCTCCTGTTTTCAGCCTCCCCAGCACTGGGATTACAGACATGCACCACCACACCTGGCCTCGGTGGCCGGCTCAGCGTGCCCAGGGTCAGGGCCAGTGCAGCCTGTAGTTTAGGGATTGAACCCCAGTCCCTGCACTTGCCCAAGCAGGCACTTAACCCACTGAGCTGTCTGCCTGGCTGAAATTTAATTTAATCTTGAAACAGGGTCTTACCCAGGCTGACCTGGATTTCCTAGGCTGATCTTAAAATTGAGATCCTCCTGACTCAGTCTTCCAGGTAACTGGGATTATGGAGATATGTTACTGTATCTGGCTCAGAAATGTTCTTAAATTGTTACTCTGGGTGTGGTGGAGCATCCATGGCCTCAGCTACTTAGGAAGCTGAGGCAGGAGGATGGCTTGAGTAAAAGGGTTTGAGGCCAGTCTGAGCAACACAAGGAAACCTCATCTTAAATTTTTTTTCTTGTGGCTGAAAGGATCAAATACACATTATGTTGAAGAAAGAAACAGATCAGGAGGATGACAGCCAGGGCTTCTGTAGCTGTCCTGCCCCAGAGCACAGAGTCCTGCCCCTGCCCCTCCCTGGGGTGAGGGCTGTCTTCTGTAGCTCACCAAGACCACCAGTTTGTTCATGAAGAGGTCAATCTTGGTTCTCTTCAAGTGGATATTTCCACAGTTCTTCATGATTTTTGTGTCAAAACCTGTAGAATTTATATTCATCTATCCTGCTGTTATTCACCCATCCATCCACCCATCCATTCATCCACCCACCTACCCAACCATCCATCCATTCACCCATCCACTCATCTGCCCATCCATCCATGCATCCATCCATCTATCAACCCATCTACCCTCCATCTATCCACTTACCATCCATCCTTCCATTTGCTCACTCATTCACCCAACCCACCCACCCACCCATGCACTCATCTATTTGTTTATCCAATTGCCCATCCTTTCTTTTTCCCATCCTTTCATTTACAAACTCCCTATTTTTTCTGCAAAACCCACACTCCTGGCTCAGCCTGTCCATTTGTAGAGCTGAGACAGAAGCAGCAAAGTCACAGGAGCCCAGAATGCCCACAGCTGCATGGCCAAGCCCAGCTTGGCAGTCTTGGCTCACCTAAGACATCCAGGGCTGCCCTGCCCACCCATGCGGCCTTACCGGCATAGATGACCAGCCCGTAGCAGGCGTCAGTGTTGCGGATCTTGGAGCCACGTAGGAGGAGGTTACCGATGTCCAGAGCATACTTCCTGCCATTCCACTCCAGGCTCCCCACAAACTGGTGCATCCGGCTGTTGGGATCCTCGCATATCACCGTGCCTGTGGTAACCTGGCAGTCACTACACAGGGCATCTAGCCACCCACCCCAACTGGGGGAAACATTCCTACCACTCCAGGTTTGGTCATTTCCATTGGCCCCATGGCACCCCACCTCTAGGCGCCCCCTGGTGCCTAGTCCCCTTGTGCTCCCCCTGGGGTGTTACCAGACTCTGCTCGCATAAGGGCACTGTTTATACCTGTGAGCTTCCTCTCAGCACACTGAGTCCTTGGACAGACCCGGAACTTGACACACACTAGGTGCTCAGTAAGTGTAGGGGGAAGGGGTACCTGCTTCACCCAACATCCTGATCCTACTGGGTGCTGGACCCCCCCACAACCACATCACCACCATCACCCTTGAGTTGGATGTTATTTGTGTCACTCCTGGTGCAGCAAAAGGGCTCTAGCACACACTCCCAAAGCAGTGGTCAGTGAGGGTTCAATAACAATGGTGGTAGACTGGGACTCCAGGTAGGAAAGGGCTGACAGGCCATCAGTTTATCCCTCATCCACCTATTCACTCATCTACACACCCATCCATACACCCATCAGGGGACTGGGGAGATGGCTCAGTATAATAAGCTCTTCCCTGGCAAGCACAAGGGCCTGAGTTCAAAACCCAGTTCCACAAAAAAAAAAA